TGGGAGGCTGAGATGGGAGGATCACTGAGCCTGAAAGGTTGAGGCTGCAATGAGTCATGATGGCACCACTGCATTACAGCCTGGGCAACAGAGCAATACTCTGTCAAAAGAAAAAAAAAGGAAAGGAAAGAAAGAGGAAAAGAAAAGAAGAAGTGGAGGGAGCTATCTTAATTTCAAAACAGCAGAATCATCAGAGATAAAGGGTGACATTATATAACAAAAAAAGCGTCAATCTTCCAAGAGAGCATAACAATCTTTAACACATATGTCACAAACAGCTGAGCATCAAAATATGTGAGGCTAACACTGATAGAATTGCAAAGAAAGATAGAAAAATTCACTATTATAGCTGGAAATTTCAATACTAACAGTAATTGACACCCAGCAAGTAGGCAATCAGTATAGTTGATCTGAATAATACTATCAATCAACTGTTCTTATTGACATTTATAGATTATTTCATTTGACAACAACGGAATACTCATTCTTCTTAAGATTACATGAAACATTCACCAAGATAGACAACATTCTGGGCCATAAAACAAGTTTTATGTTTACAAGGACTCAACATATTTACAAGGACTCAAATCAAACAAAGTTTATTCTTTACACCAGAAATAAAGTAGAATAAAAAAAAAATCTAGAAAAATCCCCAAATAATTGAAAACTAACAAATATCTAGAAACAAAACAAAACATCCCCACATGAGTCAAAGATAAAATTAAATGGTAAATTAATTAGAATGTATTTTAAATTACATGACAATTAAAATGTATCAAAATTATCAAAATGTGTGTGATGCCACTACAATAGTACTCTGGGGGACATTTACAGCCCTAAACACCTGTATTAAGGAAGGAAAAACGACACTCTGTGAGGCCAAGGCGGGAGGATCACTTGAGGCCAGGAGTTCAAAACCAACCTGAACAATCTGGTAAGACTCCTTCTCTACAAAAACTTAAAAAAAAAAAAATTCACCAGGCATGATGGCACACACCTGTGGTCCTAGCTACTCAGGAGGCTGAAGTGGAAGGAGTGCTTGGGGCCAAGCCTTCAAGACTGCAGTGAGCTATGATTGCACCACTACACTTTAGCCTGGTGGCACAACACAATAATAATAATACTGATGTCTGTCTCTAAAATAATAATTATTATTAGGAAGAAAAAACTCAAATCAGTGATTTCAGCTTCCACCTAGAAAACTTAGAAAAAAGAGCAAATTAAACACAAAACATGCAAAAGAAGGCAAATTATAACGGTCAGAGCAGAAACCAATGAAATAAAAAACAGAAAAAGAGAAAACTCAATGAAGCCTAAAGTCCTTTGAGAGGATCAATATAACTGATAAGCCTCTATCCAGACTCAGGAAAGAGAGAGAAGACACAAATTATCAGTATCATGAATGAGAGAAGCCAGCACTCCATTCTACAGATATTAAAAGGATAATAAAAAATATTCCAGATAATTTTATGGCAATAAGTTTAACAACTCAGATGAAATGGACAAACGCCTTGAGAGAAACGAACAACTCATGCTCATTCAAGAAGAAATGGATCACCTGAATAGCCCTACATCTAGTAAAGAAATTGAACTCACAGCTAAAAACCTTCCCACAAAGAAAACTACAAACCCAGATGGCTTCACTGGTAAATCTCCAAACATAAGGAAAGAATAATACTATCTACACATACTCTTCCAAAAAACTGAACAGGAGGGACTACCTCCCAGCTCATTTTATGGGATCCGCATTACTCTCACACAAAATCCAAAATAAGACATTGATAGAGTTTGGCAATGTGTCCCCACCCAAATCCCATGTTAAACTGTAATCCTCAGTGCTGGAGGTGGGGCCTGGTTGGAGGTGACTGTATCACAGGAATGGATTTCTCATGAATGGCTTGGCACCACCCCTTTGGTGCTGTCGTCACGACAGTGAGTGACTTCCTGCAAGATCTGGCTATTTAAAACTGGGTGGCACCTCATTCTCTCTCTTGTTCCCACTCCTATTATGTGAGATGCCTGCTCCCATTTTGCCTTCTGCCATGACTGTAAGCTTCCTGAGGCTAGAAGCAGTTGGTGTTGCCAGGAAGGAGATGCCTCCTACACAGCCTGAAGAACTGTGAGCCAATTAAATCTCTTGTCTTATAAATTACAGAGTCTGAGATATTTCTTTATAGCAATGCAAGAACAACCTAATACAGAAAAAATGATACCAAGGACTGGGGCATTGCTATAAAGATACCTGAAAACATGGAAGCAGCTTTGGAATTGAGTAACAGGCAGAGATTAGAAGTATGTAGAAGGTTCGGAAGGACACAGAAAGATGAGGGAAAGTTTGGAACTTTTTACAGACTGGTTAATTGGTTGTGACCAAAATGCTGATAGTTATACAGACAATGAAGTCCAGGCTAGCAAGGTCTCAGATGGAAATGAGGAATTTATTGGGGACTGGAGCAAATATCTCATGTGTTTGCCTTAGCAAAGAGCTTGGTTGCATTCTGTTCACAGCCTAGGAATCTGTGGAAGTTTGAACTTGAGTGATGACCTGGGATATGTGGTAGAAGAAATTTCTTTTTTTCTTTTTCTGCCCGCATCCTCCCTCCTGGTAGAAGAAATTTCTAAGCACCAAATTGTTCAAAATGTTTCCTGGCTGCTTCTAACAGCCTATGTTCAGATGCAAGAGCAAGGAATGACCTGAAGTTGGAACTTATATTTAAAAGGGAAACAGAGCATAAAAGTTTGGAAAATTTGCAACTTGGCCTCATGGCAAAGAAAGAAAAGATTTTTTTGAGAAACAATTTCAAGCAGGCTTGTAGAGGAACTACTTCCTAGATAAATTTGCATAACTACAAAGAATCCAAGGGTTGATAGCCAAGATAATGAGGAAAAAAACGTCACGGGCATTTCAGAGACCTTCCAACAGCCCCTCTCATCACAGGGCCAGTGGCCTGAAAGGAAAGAATGGTTTTATGGGCAAGGCCCAGAGCCCCTCCGCCCTGCACAGCCTCAGGACACTGCTCCCTGCATTGCAGCTGCTGAGTTCTGCTAGAATTCTAGCTTCACATCAAAGGGGCCAGGTACAGCTTGGGCCACAGCTCCAGAGGGCACAAGCCATAAGCCCTGGTGGCATCCATGTGTTATTAAGCCTGTGAATGCACAGAGTGCAAGGGTTGAGGCTTGGGATTCTCCACCTGTGGGGATTCACTCAAGACGGTGGCAAAAATATTAAAGGAAACGTACTGGAATAGCTTTAAGGAATAATCACAAACCTCCTTGGAAGGCCAAAGATTTCGCATCTTTTCAGCAGAAGTTTTAGCTGAAGGCAGCCTAAATCTGCCTTACATTTTGTTAATAAGAATAGCAAATAGCTAGGGTATGTAGGGGAATTTATCTGAATAACTTGTTTATTCATGTGGTCTTAAACTAATTTTTGAGTCTGATGGCCCTCTCGGGAGGAGGTCGGCCAGGGAGATTATCCTCTAATAGTGCTTGTTTTAGGCCTCCCCTCAGAACCTGTCCTTTATTCTTTAACCTCGAGGGGTGTTGACTCAGAGTTTTTGTCATTTAATGTGTGCTAAATAAAGGCCGGTGAGGCCAGCATGTCAGGGCTGGCAGTCGCAACTGTTTACAGCACTCTCCATGGAATCTGTAAGTGGCCCAGACACTTGGTCCAACTGGCAAAGCCTAATATCTGTGTGTCAGTGTGCTTTATTCATCTGATGTTGAGTCAAGGTCTGCAGGACAGACCGCCTCAGGTAGTGACCCTGTCATCCACCTAGATTTCAGAGGATGTCTGGAAAAGCCTGGGTGTCTAGGCAAAAGTCTGCTGCAAGGTAGAAGCCCTCATGGAAAATCACTCCCAGGACAGTGCAGAGGGAAAATGTGGGGTTGAAGCCCCCACACAAAGTCCTCACTGGGACACTGCCTAGGAGCTGTGGGAAGACAACCACCATCCTCCAGACCCAAGAATGGTAGATCCACCGGCTGCTTGCACCCTGCACCTGCAAAAGCTATAGGCACTAAAAGCCAGCCCATGAGAGCAACCTCAGGAGCCCTGCAACGCCCACAGGGGCAGAGCTGCATAAGGCCTTGGGAGCCCACTCCTTGCACGAATGTGCCTTAGATGTGAGACATGCAGCCAAAGGAGATTATTTTGGAGCTTTAAGATTTAGTGGCTGCCCTGATGAGTTTTAAACTTTCATGAGTCCTGTAGCTCCTTTCTTTTGGCCAATTTCTCCCTTTTGGAATAGGAATGTTTACCTAATGGCTTTACCTCCTTTGTATCTTGGGAGTAACTAACTTGTTTTGATTTTACAGGTTAGGTTCATAGGTAAAAGGAGATGAGTATCAGATAAGACTTTGGACTTGAACTCAGGACTTTTGAGTTAATCCTAGAACAAGTTAAGACTTTGGGGGACTATTGGGAAAAGATTGTTGTATTTTGAAATGCAAGAAGGGCACGGGATTTGGGAGGGGCCAGGGGCAGAATAATACAGTTTAGATTTGTGTCTCCACCCAATTTCATATTGAAATGTAATCCCCAGTACTGCAGGTGGGACCTGGTGGGAGGTGACTGGATCGTGAGGGTGGATTTCTCATGAATGGCTTACACTATCTTCTTGGTGCTATCCTCACTACAGTGAGTAACTTCTTATGAGATCTGGCTGTTTAAAACATTATGGCACCTTGTTCTCTCTCTCTTGTTCCCACACCTGTTATGTGAAATGCTTGCTCCCACTTTGCCTTCTGCCATGACTGTAGGCTTCCTGAGGCCTCCCCAGAAGCAGATGGTGGTGCCAGGAAGCAGATCCTTCCTGTAAATCCTGCAGAACCATGAGCCAATTGAACCTCTTTTCGTATAAATTACACAGTTTCAGGTATTTTTTTATAGCAATGCAAGAATGGTCTCATATAGACATTAAAAGAAAAAAGAAAATATTGTGTTTATTAGTAGTGAATATCATGATTCCCCCTTTCCAAGTACTACAGGGCTCGCTTACCTTTTCTTCATAATTAGGTAGTGTATCTTTGCATATGGTTATGATGTCCATCCAGGAGTAGCTCCTCTCTCTTCGGATCTTTTCTAATTCTGGGTCATTCTCATATTTGTCAGCATCCAGCTAAAAGAGTTAAGCCACCACAAACAAGAGCTCAGACTAACAAGGAGATGTAGAAACATTCTCTTTCTGGATCTCCAATGTGATTTTATACGCCAAATTTTCATCTGTTATTTTTTCAACCCTAAGCCAACTCTCCTCATCTCTTCTCTCTATTTAATGGATTTTCCATTCTCCAAAACACCAGCTCTACATAATAGAAATCTGTTTGCTTTCTGCCTCCCTTCTCGGCAACAGTCCATCCCATCTTTTCCCCATTTTTGAGATGACGGTCTCGCCACCTGCAGCCTATCTGGCCTATCCACGGGTCCCTCACTGTGCCGTTTCTCTGCCACCATCCCACTCGTCTCACTGGCCCTTGATGGCATCTCTTTGGTGAGCTTGTTCCATGAGCCAAAACACTGAATGCTCTCCCAGCCTGCAAGTAAAACTCAAGTGAATTAAGCTGGAATGAGACACCTTCATCATCTGGCCCCAGCTGACTTTTCTATCTGTTCTTTGTCCCCTACATTTTAAAGAACTCTACATTCTAAACCAAATAGGAGGTTTGGCTATCTTAAAAATATTTGATATTTCACATCCCACACCTCGCTCATGGCAGCTTTCTATGCCTAAAATTCCCAATCAACATTTTCATTTTCATTTATCACAATCCTTTCTCTATTTTTTAAGGTTTTATTTTACTGTTCCTTCCTATGAAGCACTTCCCTGATGAAGCTCCAGACAGAATTAGTCTGAACTCTTTTTTTTTTTTTTTTTTTGAGATGGAGTTTCGCTCTTGTTACCCAGGCTGGAGTGCAATGGCGCGATCTCGGCTCACCGCAACCTCCGCCTCCTGGGTTCAGGCAATTCTCCTGCCTCAGCCTCCTGAGTAGCTGGGATTACAGGCATGCGCCACCATGCCCAGCTAATGTTTTTTGTATTTTTAGTAGAGACGGGGTTTCACCATGTTGACCAGGATGGCCTCGATCTCTTGACCTCGTGATCCACCCGCCTCGGGTGTAACCCAAAGTGCTGGGGTTACAGGCTTGAGCCACCGCGCCCGGCCTAGTCTGAACTCTTATAAACTACTGGCAGTGAATTTAGAATTTAGCATACTTCATATTTTGCAATAAACTGCACATTATATCATCACTACTTACTGAACAACAAACTCCAGAGTGTCTCAAAGTGCCAGTCACTGATATGTGATTTTCTACAATTATAACTGCATGATATGCTTAGTACCATTTGCTATAGTCGGACAATGTCCCCCAAATTCTCACGTTGAAGCCTAATCCCAATGTGATAGTATTAAGGGGCGGGACCTTTAGGATGTGATTGAGTCATGATGGCAAGCCATCTTTTTTTTTTTTTTTTTTTTTTTTTTTGAGATGAGTCTCCTTTGTCACCCAGGCTGGAGTGCAGTGGTGTGATCTCAGCTCACTGCAACTTCTGCCTCTTGGGTTCAAACAATTCTGTTGCCTCAGCCTCCTGAGTAGCTGGGATTACAGGCGTGTGCCACCATGCCCAGCTAATTTTTGTATGTTTAGTAGAGACGGGTTTTACCATGTTGGTCAGGCTGGTCTCAAACCCCTGACCTTGTGATCCACCCATCTCAGCCTCCCCAAGTGCTGGGGTTACAGGCGTGAGCCACCACACCCAGACGCAAGCCCTCATTTATAGGATTAGTGGCCTTATAAGAGAGATGGAGCTGGGTACAGTGGCTCGCCCACATTACATGTGTGTATATATATATATATATGTGTGTGTATATATATATATGTATAGATACATTACATACATACGTGTGTGTGTGTGATGAGGTCTCACTATGTCACTATGTTGCCCAGTCTGGGTGTGGTCTCAAACTTCTGGCTTCAGGCAATTTGCCCGCCTTGGCCTGCCAAAGTGCTCGAATGACAGAAGCCACCATGCCTGGCCCAGGAGAGGTCACTGTTTTGGATTGAGCCCCTGCACTAGGCTCCAACATGACACTAAACCAAAATAGAGCCACTCATGCCATATGCCACATGATCAAACTAAAACTTTAAAGAAGAAGGTAGATCTCAAACAGACCAGCTTTTCCTGAGATCAGAAGATCCCAGTCTTCCTGAGTCAGCATAAATAAGGAATTTGCGGCCGGGCACAGTGTTCACGCCTGTAATCCCGGCACTTTGGAAGACTGAGGCCAACGGATCACAAGGTCAGGAGTTCGAGACCAGCATGGCCAATATGGTGAAACCTCATCTCTACTAAAAATACAAAAATTAGCCTGGTGTAGTGGCAGGTGCCTGTAGTCCCAGCTACTCGGGAGGCTGAGCCAGGAGAATCGCTTGAACCTGAGAGGCGGAGGTTGCAGCGAGCCAAGATCGGCCACTGCACTCCAGCCTAGGCAACAGAGCGAGACTCCCATCTCAAAAATAAAAATTAAAAAAATAAGGAAGTCGATTGGGCTTTAACCCTTAGAAAAAAAGTAACTTTATGTTAACCATCAGCTTTTTTCCCTCCTGCTCTGTTTCTTTGTTGTCACCGTACAAGACCCATTGTTACGCTATTATCCTGTGGAACTTTCATTCTATTTTGTAGAATAGAGGCTGCCCTATTCACAAATCAAAAATAAAAGCCAATTAGATCTTTAACTAAATTTGTTGCAATTTTGTCCTTCAACATCACTGATCCAGAATGAATATTAAGAAAGCATATAGGCCGGGAGCAGTGGTTCATGCCTGTAATCTCAACACTTTGGGAGGCCAAGGTGGAAGGATCCCCTGAGATAGGGAGTTTAAGACCCGCCTGACCAACATGGAGAAACCCGGTTTCTACTAAAAATACAAAATTAGCCAGGCGTGGTGGCACATCCATGTAATTCCAGCTACTCAGGAGGCTGAGGTAGGAGAATTGCTTGAACCCAGGAGGCAGAGGTTGCTATGAGCCGAGATTGCATCATTGCATTCCAGCCTGGGCAACAAGAGCAAAACACCTGAACGAAAGAGAGAAAGAGAGACAGAGAGAGAGAGAGAGAAAGAGAAAGAGAGAAGGAAAAACTATGTTTGAGCCCATGTAATAATCTAAAAGATGCCTATTTAAATAAATCTTGTTTTATTCTTTGAATACATTCAGGAGTTGACCTGTAATTGCATTCTTGTTCTTAAAACCGTCAAATGCACAATGAAACTCCCCAAGTGTATTAATCTGAACCCTCTGGTTGTTTGGATTGTGGATAAATTTGACATTATAAGCCAAAACTTATTTTCCTCTTATTAATGGAAAACTATAAACCACTTGATTCCTTTGAAGATAGTACCCTCCAGCAAGGTAGGTGTTAAATCTTATCCTGGGAAAAGGCAAATACTATGTAAACATTAGCATGCTCGCCCTGTTTGGCATTGGTATGCCAATTGTCATTTCCCTCTTCTGTTATGTAGGACAGAACAAGATGGTCTCCAAATATATTATGCTGGAATATTCTATAATCCTTTATCCAGGGAAAAAGTGTGGTGCCAGGGTAAGCCTGTGTATTTCATCTAAGTCACAAGATGCAGATTAGATCCACTCACCCTCAGCCTATCCCTGAGCCTCCCCTGGCCCTCTCCTCTGCAGTAAACCTTTGGACCGCAAAGCCATTTGCAAATAAACAAGGTGAACCGATCAGGACCAGTGGGGTGCAAGCAATGGGGCACCCGTGCAAAGCCCAGCCACGCCTTGCAAACCTAGCGCTCCAGAGGCAGGGCCGACACCGGCGCCGGCGGGATCCCAGCCAGCTCCACCGCCCGCGGGAACCGTCCCCACCCCACCACCCGGCGCGAACTCCCAGACACCCCCGACAGAACTGAAAAGCACCGCTAACCCCCACCAGCCCCGCTGTTGAGCATGCGAAGCACACCTCGGGCCCCGGGAGCTGACTGCCCACGCCTTATACCCCGCTGCTGAGCATGCGCAGCACACCCAGGGGCTGGGAGCTGACCGCCGACCCCTCATCGCCGCTGCTGAGCATGCGCAGCACGCCCAAAGCGCCCCAATGCTGAGCATGCGCATCCCACCCCAGGCACCGGGGCCAGGCACTGACCCCCTTCCCCACTGCTGAGCATGCGCAGCGGAGCCGGTACCAGGCCGCTGCCCCGCACCCGGAGGGGCCTGAGCTCTGCGGGGCGCTCGGGGGTCGGCGTCGCCTGCACGCTCTGCGAGCCCTGGGCCCGAGTACCTTCCAGTAGAGCACCCCGAGCCGCCGCAGCTGCTCCAGGCCCACCGGGCGGTCGGGATCCGGGCGGTGGGGCTGCCGCGGGTCGCCCGGGGCGTCGTCCATGTACCAGGCCTGCACCATGGCGCGCAGGGCGAGGGCTGCGTTCGAACCCGTGGGCCGCGCCTTCTTTTATAGGGAGGCGTAGACGCGCCGCGGAGCCAGGATTGGGCAGCGGGCGGAGGCAGGGCCGGCGCGGGGCAGGCCGCAGGGACTGAGGCGGGGGCAGGCCCCATGGGTCCGCTCTTCCTTCCGAGGCAAAGGCATTCAAGGCCCGGCCCTGTCCTGGGCGCCCTGGGTCCTGCCTGAGGCCGGCGGGCCGGAGCCAGCGGTTTGCCAGACGCGCCGCGCGCCGTGAGGCTCACTGCAGGCATCGCACGTGCCTTGTGTGGGGGGCTGCCGTCTCCTGCCACCCTCAGAGCAATCTTGTGAGACTAACGAGGTTAAATGTGTTTTCAGCAAGGAAGGCAAATGCAAAAAGAAAAAAAAAAAAAAAAAGAAAGAAGAAAGAATAAGGATTGTGTTAAGCGCATGCAGCCCATGTGGGGCACAGGTGAGAGCTGACAGCTCAGACCCCAGGCAGTATCGGACCCGGACCTCCACCTCCCCACTCTGCAGACTTTTGCAGTGTCGGCAGTCTGCAATGCTCTCCTGTAATTTTTTTTTTGGAATTTTTTTGTTTTATTTTATTTTGCTTTGTTTAGTATAAAGTTTTCATAGGTCAGGTTCCCTGGGAAACATTCTGAGATGGGGATTTGTGGGCAGGAGGAATTTTTTTTTCTTTTTTTCTTTTTATTGTATTTTAGGTTTGGGGGTACATGTGGAGAACATGCAAGAATGTTGCATAGGTACACACTTGACAGTGTGATTTGCTGCCTTCCTCCCCATCACCTATATCTATCATTTCTCCCCATGCTATCTCTCCCCAACTCCCCGCCCCCCACTGTACCTCCACTCTTCCCCCCCCACAGACCCCAGTGTGTGATGCACCCCTCCCTGTGTCCATGTGTTCTCATTGTTCAACACCCACCTATGAGGAAGAACATGCGATGTTTGATTATCTGTTCTTGTGTCAGTTAATTTTTTAAACTTCCTCCTTTTTCCTTTCTTCATTGTTTCTCCCTTCCCCATGCACTGTGGTATGCTAGTCCTAGAATAAAAACACGCTTCCCCTACCCCATTCTGAATTTTTCAGTGTAGCTAATCAAGTCCAGTCACTTGCCATCCTAGATGTTTTTTCAAACCAGCCAGCTAAAAGATCACACCATCTCAGCCATGCCCTCAGTCTCTTTAATACATAATGGTAATGCAGACAGGATTTAAACGAGACTGCTGTAAGCGCACAACCCCAGAGCATGCAATTGACTCTTGAACTTCTAGAAATCCTGCACGGAAAATACACACTTATTTCATTTCTGTTCCCTTGCTCTAGTGACTTTGCAAATGCATCCTCGTTAGAGAGCTGACCTCCCCACCTCTTCACTTGACCCGTTTCTCCTCATCCTTCAAGACCGCACCTTAGACGTCTGGCCCACTTTTCTGCTGCACTCATAACAAAGATCTGTGCAAGTCTAATGGCAATGTCGCACCTTGCGTTCTCTCCTTAACCCACTGCAATGAGGCTGTGCTTCTCACCACTGGAGAACTGCCAGATCTAATTATGGCACTTCTGTTCTTACCAGCAGCATTCATGACAGTTGCCCATGCCCTTCTTGAAACATTTTCTCAGCCGGGCGTGGTGGCTCACTCCTGTAATCCCAGTTTTTTGGGAGGCCAAGGCGGGCAGATCACGAGGTCAGGAGTTCAAGACCAGCCTGACCAACATGGTGAAACCCTGTCTCTCCTAAAAATACAAAAATTAGCCAGGCGTGGTGGTGCACACCTATAATCCCAGCTACTCAAAAGTTGGAGGCAGGAGAATCATTTGAACCCCGGAGGCAGAGATTGCAGCGAGCCAAGATCGCACCACTGCACTTCAGCCTGGGCAACAGAGTGAGAGTCCCTCTCAAAAAGAAAAAAGTAAAGAAAAAGAAACATTTTCTAGTTTCTTTAATGAGGGCATCCTGGCTGCTTCCTCCCAGGCCCCTCCTAGCTCCTGCTTCTCAGACTCTCCTTGTCCTGTTCCTGTCCACGCGCTCCAGGTGACCTTCCATGATGTAGCCTACTCCTACAGCCACATCCCTAACCTGGACCTCGTTCCAGAACCTCAGGCTTGAGTTACATGGCCAAAACAACTGATTCCCCACACACACCCAAACATGCTTCTCCCTAGCCTTTCCTGTCTCTGTCAGCGGCATCACTGACTGCCCAGTGACCGCATAAAAAAATCTAGGTGTACTCTCAGTTTCTTTTGCCCTCGCCCTAAACCTCCAGTCCAATCTGTCAGCAAGTCATGTCGCTTTGAACTTCAAAACACACCACAAACCCATTCACTTCCCTCCATCCCAATTCTTTGCACCATCTTTTCTTGCCTAATGGAATTGACTCCTGAAATTGCCCCCCACCACTTCCATTTTTGCCCCAGTGCAATCTATTTGATGCAGAGCACCCAGAGTGACCTTTTAAAAACAGGAACTAGATGCCAGGCACAGTGGCTCATGCCTGTAATTCCAGCACTTTGGAAGCCTAAGGACGGCAGATTGTTTGAGCCCAGGAGTTTAAGACCAGCTAAGGCAACATGATGAAACCCCGTCTCTACTAAAAATACAAAGATTAGCTGGCTGTGGTGGTGTGGACCTCTACTCCCAGCTACTCTGCAGGCTGAGACAGGAGGGTCGCTTGAGCCTGGATTCTGAAGTTGTAGTGAGTCAAGATTGTACTACTGCACTCTAGCCTAGGTGACAGAGCAAGACTCAGTCTCAGAAAAAAAAAAAAAAAAAAAAAAAAGGGAACCCAGTCAAGCAAGCCCCTTCTGTGCTTCAGCCTTCCCTTCCATAGCCGGCTGACCACCTCCCAGCCCATCATCCTCCCATCTTGTTCTCTGCCCTCCAGACACTTTGGCCTTTTGGTGTCTTTGAGTCGTTGTTCTGCCTTCCTTTGGGCCCTTCAACCATGCAGTTTTTCCACCTAAAATGCTCTTCCTCCAAGTACTTTTTTCCTGTACAAAATTCTAATTTCAGCTTAATTATCCCTTTCTTAGAGAAGCCTCTCTGACCCCTCCCGAGACAACCAGATGAGCCCTCCCCGTTAAACACGTTCACGGTGCTAGTTAGAGTCCATAAGGACATACTGACTTAGTGTCTTTTCACCGTAGGACTGACAACCCCGTGCGTTGTTTGGTGCTTGCTCAGTGAATGAATTCGTCTGTATTGCTGAGTGCTGCCTATACCTTGAGGTCAGAGAAGGTGTCTTATTAGTCCTTCAGTGCTTGGTACATAGTAGACAATCTTTTTAAAAAGTTTGTTGAATGAAAATGAAGAGATAGGTTGAGGAACACTCCAAATAGTCTTTACTAGCTACTGTAATTGCACCCCCATCTCACACCTAATGCTGCTCATTCCCTAGAAAATAGTAACAGTAGGCCGGGAGCAGTAGCTCATGCCTACAATCCCAGCACTTTGGGAGGCCGAGGCGGGTGGATCACGAGGTCAAGAGATCGAGACCATCCTGGTCAACAAGGTGAAACCCCGTCTCTACTAAAAATATAAAAATTAGCTGGGCATGGTGGCACGCACCTATAGTCCCAGCTACTCGGGAGGCTGAGGCAGAAGAATTGCTTGGACCCAGGAGGTGGAGGTTGCGGTGAGCCAAGATCACACCATTGCACTCCAGCCTGGGTAACAAGAGCGAAACTCCGTCTCAAAAAAAAAAATAATAATAACAGTAGCCTGGGTACAGTGGCTCACACCTGTAATCCCAGCACTCTGGGAGGCCAAAGTGGGAGGATCACTTGAGATCAAGAGTTCCAGACCAGTCTGGGCAACACAGCAAGACCCCCTCTCTACAAAAAAAAAATTATATTAAAACAAAAAGAAAACAGTAGTTCTAACAATAATAATAGCAATGTACCCTGGGTAGTACTTTAAAGATTTGATCCATATTATTCTGTTTGCTCCTCATGATTATACTATGAAGGTGGTATGATTTATTATCCACGTTTTAAAGATGAGACTTGGGAGGCTGAGGCAAAAGTTTCAGCCCAGTCTGGGCAACGTAGCAGGACCGCATGTCATTTAAAAACAATGAGACATCTAGGACACAAAAAGCTTAAGAAACTGTGGTCACACAGCCAGCAATGACAAAGCTGGTACCGTGCTCAGGGAGCCTAGCGCAATAGTCTGTACACATACCTGCTAAAATCTAGTACAAGCAGTCATGATACAGTTTCATCCCGTCACAGAATGGACTTCATCTTGAACTTGGAGGACCGCTTCCAGTTCCCCTGCCACCCCAGGCCACAGCAGCGTGCACAGCGGTGCATCTACCATCTGTGAGACTCTGTCTTCGGTAGATGTCCTTTTTTCCCGTTAGGTATGGAGAAAACAGTTTTATGCCATAAAAAACAAGCATACTTTAGAAAAGCCAGATGATCGAGAGGGCCTGCAGAACCGCCGAGGCAGCCCAGCACTTGCTCCTGGCAGCAGTTCACGCGGCAGAATCAGATGAGAACAGCACTCGATATTTCGCACGGACATTGCCGGCCCAGGGAGTTACTCCTTTGAAGGGGAATCTTTGGAACTTGAACTATCTCTTCCAGAAGAATAGCCAGCAGCAGCCCAAAAATATGTTTCATGACCAGAATTTATCACCCCAATGTAAGACGCTTGGGAAGAATCTGTTGAGATGTTTTGGAAGGCAGATGGTCGCCATCGCCTCAGACCTGAGCAGACTGTCACCGTCTGGGTTTTGTGAAGTGCTCTCAACCCAGAGGCGCATTAACAACCCACGTAGGGATACAGCAGAGCCACGGAAGACCAGGAAAATCCAAGCTGCTGGAATGTGGAACGCAGAGAAGGCACTATAGGCAGGGGCGGCAGGTTTTCTCTGGAAAAGGCCAGATAGTAAACCATTTAGGTTTTGTGAGGCAGCAGTCAAAACTGAGGATGGTATGTAGGTCCTTACACAACGACCACGTGAAAGTGTAAAATCCATTCTTAGTTCATGGAACATACAAACGGGCAGCAGACTGAATCCGGCTCACAGCCTGGAG